ATTGACTTGAGGTATCAGCTGGAACCTCAGAAGGCCACATAAAGTGGCTGCCCACATCCTTCCCTTACTCCCAGCTTCTTCTCCTAGAGGAGAGTCGAGGCAGATTTTCAACCCATTCAGTCCCATACCTGGCCTGGGTTCCTCGGAACCTCCTCAAATCTCTCCAGTGCACAATGAATTCTTCCTCCCTGGATCCCTGAGCCTACAGTCCTCAGCCTCAGAATTTGATAGCTCTTGGTGTGGCTCTTACCTGTGTCCATTTCGATTTACCGATTAGGCAGTGAACTCGAGATCGTGGAGGGGGTGCTAGGAGTATTTGAATTCCCTACCTTATATAACATGGTAGCAGGTTCCAAGGAGGTGCTTAATAAGTACACACTGGTTGATTATCTCCTCTTACCCACTCTTTAAAATGCTTGCCAGCATGTGCCCAGCTGCTGTGGCTCAGTGGCTGAGCGTCAACCCATGTACCGGTAGGTCACCGGTTCGATTCCTGGTCAGGGCACAAGCCCGGGTTGTGGGCCAAGTCCCCAGTGTGAAGCATGCAGGAGGCAGCCAATCAATATTTCTATCTCTCTTTCCCTCTCCCTTCCTCTCTCTCTCAAATCAATATAGAGAAAAAAAATTTTTTAATTCTTGCCAGCATGCTAATGATCAGTAACACCCTATTACTGATCAAGTAACATCTCTATTAGATAGAGGACAGCACAGGACTGGGCAGAAGACTCCAGTCAGGGACCTCTGCTCCTAGGCAAACCCTAGCACAAAGCTTTTGTGCGAAGTGAAAACAGCTTGTGTGGTGCCTATACCTGAAACTCCATCTTTTCACGCGTGAGGCACACGTGTTCCGTCTTCCCAGGGTTCAGGGCTCCTGCACGAGTGATGCCCCATCCCCAGGCTTGCACTCCATTTGAGCACAGCAGAGCTATCGAATACAGCCTGTCTATCTGGGTTGAACACGTTGTGTCATTTTTACACTCAGGCCTCAATCAGGTAGCAGCTTTGGCCACAGCTATCAAAATCTATTATTTGCTAGAGTTGTGGGGTTTTTTTGTTTTAAGACTCAAACTTTGAAGTATGAGAAGAGAAACTCAGATGTCTGCCTTGAATTCACTCTATTTCAATAAACGGTTTCAGAATTGTAACTACTGGGACCAGGGAGGGGAGTGCCAAGTTGACACTGCCATCTTCATCATCACTGGGTACGCACTCACAAAGGACTCCAGTCCTGACTGAGAAAGCAGACTTCAGTACTGGGGAAAGCAGAGCTCCCTTCTGTGACAAAGTGTACCCCAACTGTCTCCCTGCTCCCCCCACACTAATGTTCTCAAAGAGAAACCTGGATCAACAGACAGCAAATTAAGGCACTTAGCCTGGAAGTAGTGGTCTTGATAGAACCAGACTCTGGGGAAAACTTGGGAATTTTCAGACTAGAATCTTCCCATCTATACTAATGGAAAACTGAAGCATAATCCAAAGGATCTGATCTGCCCAAGAGAGGGCCTGTTTCCAAATGGCTTCTTAAACCCACATAAGAAGACGATCCAGGTGGGCAGAAGGGAGGAAGGCAGCCCCCAGAATCAGACAGCTCTCCAGTTTTACAGGATTTCACGAGGTGCTGGAGCGCAGGGACCTCTGAGTCACTAGCTGTGGGCCTGGTGCCTCAGTTTCCACACCTATAGAATGGTGATAATGTAGGTTATTATGGGGATTAAAAAAAGACAATGCACAGGAAGTGCTTAGCACACTAGCTAACACATTGGAAGTGCTCAATAAATGGTTTTTGTTTTGTAAAATATTTGATTGCTACCACATACTTTCATTCATGCCAGTTACATCTTAGTGCGATCCAGACAGGCCCACTCACCATCCAATCCAAACCCCTTGTGCAGGGGAAAAACGTTTTTCCAAACATGACTATAAACTCGTTTTATTAAGCTTTTGAAATAAGAAAATATTAGCATAAATTTCTGATCTATTAGAGAAATCACAATCTGAAAAAGTATCTACAGCACTTAGTGTCCTTTGCTTTCTTTCCTACTCGGTCAATTTCAGAATAGAGCTTGCAATGGCATGAAGAAATATTTAAGGTCTGGGATCATCTCACCACAATTTTGTTCTCAGGTCCACAAAACACATCATTCTCATGAATCCCTCCATTTGAAATAAACAATATAGGCATGGGACCTTAACAGTAAAATTTTGTGTAGATGACAATGATAGTCTCTAAAATCTACATTTTCCTACTGGTTCTCTAAAAATGCTGTCTTCCCTGCCCTGGCCAGTTTGGCTCAGCAGTTAAAGCATCGGCCTGCAGTCCAGAGAGACCCGGGTTCGGTTCCCGCTAAGGGCACGTACCTCGGTTGCAGTTTGTCCCTGGCCCTGGTTGGGTCGTGCGGCTGGCAACCACTCAATGTGTCCCTTTCACATCGATGTTTCTCTCTCTCTCCCCCTCCCACTCTACCTGAACAAACAAAATGTCCTTAGGTGAGGATAAAAAAAAAAAAATGCTGCCCCCTGCAGAGAAAAATAAAATACAAATTTATGCATGTATAAAGTCAAAATATCCCAAATATATTACACAAAATTTTAAAAGCTCTGATCTTTTTTAAAGCTATGCTCTTTTTCATCAATATTTATACTACTTTAGAGAAATTGTATTCCAGGACCAGATAAATAAAATTTTACTATGATCATTACTAAGATATATATATATAATAATATTAAGAACTTTTTATATTTCAAAATAATCTTTAGACTTGAAGGTTCAAGAAATGACATTTTGTGTAAAGTGCTATTCTAAACACATATAACTTGATTTTTAACTTTAACTTTTTACAGATATTTTCCAAAATTTTCTTAAAATTTCAAAAAAGAGAAAAAACTCATGGACACGGACAGCAGTGTGGTAGCTGGGGAGGGGAGTGGGGAGAGGTGGGAGAGGGTATATGGGGGATAAATGGTGATGGAAAAAAATAATAAAATAAAGGGGAAAAAACATTACTCAAAACAATTACAAATGACAACATTCAAAACTAAATTCTCAAACTAAGTAAGAAGATAACAAGTAACATTCAAATTTCTTTGGAAAACAACTATGAAATATTACAGTTTTATCCCATCAAACCAAGTCAGTATTTCATTCTGAAAGCAATGTATTAATATGTAATTTTATAAAATAATCCAGTTATGGGCAAAGACTCTTGATGAACATGCTCAGTTACCTAGAATCTCCTCATTGCTATATTTTGTCTCTTAATTTCTTTGGCAGGACATTTGTGAGACCTCTTGGGGACAGTGAATTAAATGGTCTTCAAGGTCAAGATATTTCCTTGAGGTTCAGATTTAAATGTGTTCAACAATTAAAATCCCCTTTCAATTGTGTGTGCCCCTATTTATAGGTGCAACATAATTTGAGGTTCAGGATTATCATTCTGTGTATTTAAAATGGTTAGGACAGCCTGGCCGGTGTGGCTCAGTGGTTGAGCATGGACCCCTGCACCAAGAGGTCGCTGGTTTGATTCCCGGTCAGGGCACATGCCCAGGTTGTGGGCCAAATCCCCAGTGGGGGGCACACAGGAGGCAGCCAATCAATGTTCTGTCTCATTGATGTTTCTATCTTTCTCTCCCTATCCCTCCCTCTCTCTCTAAAATCAATTTTAAAAAAAATTTTTTTTATTGGTTAGAGACACACAGGGGGACCTGGCTGTCTCTTCTCTCCCCATGCCTTCCCTCTTCAATCTGAAGACTCAGAAATTATCCCAAATCATAAGAAAGTAGAGTACTTCGGAATTAGTAAACTATTCTAACCCAGTCGGTTAAGGAATGTGAAAGAGTTCATACATTGTAAAATAGCACCCCACTAGCCTTCTTAATCTTCTCCTCCCTCTCCGCTGACCAAAGCTATCATTTATGAGAGTGCTATGATGCTGAGGTTAACCCCTGATGTCTTCTTATTCAGCTGAAAATATCCACCAACTTTCTAATGATTATCCACGAAGAGACGAAGAATAGTGGACAATTGAGCAGGAAGTAACACAGGGAGAAAGGAATCTTACCTTTAGAATATCTCTAGAATAATATTTTTCAGGCTAAACCCCCAAGACAGTTTTGGGTAACAATAAACCTAAATGTCTGATCTGAAAAGAAAACTCTCACCAGAGACCTGCTGATTCAAAAATTCAATTCCTGGCCAGTTGGAATACTGCCGATATTTTCCATTCTTAACAGGAATGTGTCTGCAATTTATAAATAAGAGCTCTTTTTCTAGGGGGCGGGATGGGAAGTGTTGGTGTTAACATTTTAGATAGAAATTGCCTTTACAACTTGGTGCATTCTGCTAAATTTGAAGAATTACATGTGATAGTAACAGAGGTGAGAGCCTGGGACACGGTTTTCAGATGAAAGCTCTCAGTCTCTGGGGCACACTTTCAGACAGAAGATCCACCAGCCACCCTTCAGATCATTTCCAACCATAGCATTCCATAATTCTTTGGATTCTCAAAGTGGTGCCCACCCATTGCCAAAGCAAGGGCTAGCTGAGGAGTAAAGGCGGGGGGGCGGTCAATTTTGTTCTATATTAATCATGGTCTTTTAAAAAATATAAAGTATTCTGCCCTGGCCGGTTTTGCTCAGTGGTTAGAGCTTTGACCCAGGGTCCAGAGAGACCCGGGTTCGGTTCCCGCTAAGGGCACGTACCTCGGTTGCAGTTTGTTCCCGGCCCTGGTTGGGTCGTGCGGGTGGCAGCCACTCAATGTGTTCCCTTCACATCGATGTTTCTCTCTCTCTCTCTCTCTTCCTCACTCTCCCTCCCACTCTATCTGAACAAAAAATGGAAAACATGTCCTTGGGTGAGGATTAAAAATATATATATATATGTGTGTGTGTGTGTGTGTGTGTATACATATATGTATGTGTGTGTGTATATATATATATACGTGTGTGTGTACATATATGTGTGTGTGTGTATGTGTGTGTGTGTGTAAGTATTCTTCAACACTCCTGTTTAAAACCCTAATGAGAAGCTCCACTGTGAAAAAACTCTGGCATCTTCACCTTCCACTACCACATCTAAGCTGACCCCCTCCTCCAAATAGCATCAAGTAAGCAAACCTACATGTCAGTGTTTCCATTTACCTTCTAAGTGAAGAGAGGAGGTGGAGGAGCAAAGAGTTTAAGACAGAGCTGCTGCCCAGTGTCATCTGCTTTGATCATGCCTTGAAATTACCCCTAATTACAGCTAATCATATCAGCAATGGTCTAACATTCTCCACTGAGTGATGCTCACTGCCTGAATGATGTGAGTTTAATTATGAGCACAAATTCCAAATGAGGAAACTCTGAGCCAGTTCAGCTTGCTTTGTTATTCACTATTTCCCCCTATAAATATATCAATAAAACAATAATAATAATTTCCTTGGAAGGCAATGCTCCTGCCAAAATAAAATGCTTTAGGAACAGGTACAATCCAGTGGTCCCACCTCCCCTGCCCTGCAGATTCCAGGTTCAAGGCCACTGGTCATGTGGGGTTGTAACCAGGCACAGCAATAGCCACAGATTCTCCGTCTTTCTGATCGAATTCACTTGCTACAGAATAAGCCACGGATCCATTGGTCCAGAGCTGCAGCTTGGGATCGGATTCTTTGGCAAGGAACTGCAGCTGGGGGTTTTTCTTCTTCTTTACAAGTCTAGCAAAGCCAAGCAACACAGAACTAAATATCATTGAGAATCCACAGAGAAGAAATGCTGCTGTGTAGCTGCCCGTCGTATCTACCAGCCACCCTGCAACCAGAAACAGCAAAATCATATTGTTGAGTTGAAAATCCAATTACTTACCCGTTCTGCAGTCTAATTCTCTGTAAGGTAATAACAACAGATTGCCAGCACCACCCTGATAATCTTGACACAAAAAGGAGATATCCCAAAAATACTGTGCAGTAACTGAAAAATGCGTCCTATTTTCTAGGGAAATGTCTAGAATGGATGGCTGTTATGATGTCAAGTGCCTGGAGGGGTGTCACATTCTTAATACTCACAAAATAAATATGTCTTAATATTATTAATCCCATGAAATATGGTAGAAAGATAAAAGTAGCATCATTCAAATTGTTGATGCTGGGATCAATTGCCTAGGGTGTTAAGAGAAAATAATCATACAAAATGCTAGTAGTATTCCCAAACATATACTGTCTATCTTCAATTCAGTACATGTTTCTGGATAAAGCAGAATCCAAATTTTCAATTGGATCCAGCCATTGTACCCCATCCAGTTTGAAAACCAGAACTTTAGGCCGTTTTAGAAGTTGCAACTGCAAATTTCAGAAAGCATAATTCTGCTATCGCAGCTTTTTTTCCTCTTATCTCTTGTTACAACAGGTTAATCGCAACATCTATTCTGGCTCTAAATTTTTAGGAGAACCAGGGCACATGTTATGCAAAATATGGGCCATAATGATCAGAGAATCAATGGGGTAAAATTAGACTTTGGCAGGCAATTATTTTGCGATTAAAAAGTTAAACTCCTCCGAACTTTACCTATATGCTAAGAAAATCCACCAGAGAAGTACACGGTGTCTCCTCTCACCCACTTCAAATCCATTAGTTAAAAATGGCATGTAGAAACTGTCATAAGCCCCACACACTTTCCTGCAGTCCAGAGTACTCCCCAAAACTCTGGTTATCTTGTGGTTTGATTGAGCATTTCTACAACACCAAACAGAAGAGACTGAGTAGAGAGCTGTCATTTTAAAGGTGATTAAATAAGAGAAAGATTACAAGAACTCACACCCTAACCCTCTAATACCTGTCAAGAAGTACACTGTCTGATTGAGCAAATAAAGGCCCTAATTGGAAAAAGGATCCAGGAATCCCAATTTCGTTCCGTGTCCCAGGACTTTTTAACAGAATCACACGGCTCCTAAAGGTCAGCAAACAAAACTGGCAATGAAGGGAGGAAGTAGGAACATTTGGGGAGCAGTTTCCATACAAGAAGCACCAAACCTATGGTCCTATACCATGGAGTTGAAACTGACCAGGAATTTTCATCTGTAGCCATTGATCTGCCGCACTTTCCCCTGTTGGCTGCTTATCACTTCCTGGGCTGTGGAAATAACCCTACACTATCTACTCCGAGCGGCAGCTAAAACAGAAATCCTGCCTTCTTTACGACATCCCCTTCTTTGCTTCTAGGTAAATGTTTAGCTCATTTCTTTTTGCCTATCTTCAGAGTCCTTCATTCTCTTGGTTCTAATTTAAGCGGGTAATTATCTGGATCTGTTAGTGTCAACCGAGTGAGACTGAGCATCGCAAGAAAGCTGGCTGAGAATTTAGATTCCTGAAACTCATCCCCAAAGATTCTGATCACAGAGGGACGGTTAAGGAATCTGTATTTTTAACAAGGGTGCCAGGGGATTCTAAGGCAGATAGTCCCAGGCCCTCAATCTGAGAGACACTGGTCCTGACCACACACTCCAGGAAGGAGGAGCAGGTTCTGATGAGCTTGCTGCTATAGCAACAGTGCCGAACAAGGCGGCTGTCCACAAGCAATAAATATTTACTGAATCACTTGTTTCATCATGCTTTAAATTTCTATAGCATTTTACAGTTTGAAAATGCTTTATCTGATGAATCCAAAATCTGTATGTCAAATGTGTCCTCCCTCTAAAGCTCAGATTTCACTCTGACACAGCTCTAGGGGTCATTTTATTGGGTGTTTCATATATCTCAGTATGTGTAAATATTAAATTCACTTTTTTTTTTTTCTGGCAAAGCTACTTTCTCCAAATTCCTTATTTCTTTTAACCATGCCATTATTTTCTAAGTTATGTTGGACTTCTTTCTCTCCTTCACCCTCACATGCTAAATGCAGCTGATTTGTATGTATGTGTATAAGTGTGTGTGTGTGTGTTTCTGTCTTTCTTTACAAAACTTCCTCCTTGCTCCTAGAGCTCATTTTTATTTCTGCCGCAATAGCCCCCTGTTTGAGCCATTACCAGTTTGCTCCTGAACTATAAAACCCTAACTGCTTCTCCCCTGAATGACCAAATCAACTGCTAGAGCACATTTTCTAAAATATACTCTTTGTATCCATAGTCTTTGAAGAGCACAGGGCCCCTCCTCTGGCTGCCACTCAGGTCACTTCTCTATGACACATGATCTCAGCCTCACCACCCATCTCCTGTTAGAATCCTGCGCTCCCACCAGACTCCCCTCTGAATGTGCTCAGCTTCAGGCAGAAGTCTGAACAGCTGCTCCATGCCATTGCTCTCATCGTTAGCATGGAATGGAACCAAGACCCTAATTTGGGACACTTTCTTTCCAAGAAGGCTAAGGTCCCTACTTCATTAGATTACAAAACAAAGAAGTAAGGTGAGATCGTGGTGTTTTGGTGGCTCCCACATCCCTTTCTCTTCCACTCTTCCCCAATGTACTTCCAATCCTCACTTTCTGTGTGTGAGTTCCCTGTTTTCACATCAAGACCACAAAGAGAAGAGGTGGCTGGGGTGGGGGTCTCTCTGGAACTTACCTGCTATGGGTGGGCTCACCAAGTAGGGCACTGCATGAAGAAAGTACACCACGCCGAGGGCTGACGACAAAGAGGCGGTCCCCACTATTTCCGCAGTCACTACTGGGATCAGTGTCACATAGGCACCATCAAAGTAGCCAAAGGTACAGGAGAAAGGCACGAGCAGGGGGAGGCTTTGAAGCATTGGGAGGCAGAGATAGCAGAGCCCGTCTAGTCCCACGGCAAAGAGGTAGCAAACATACTGGTAATTCTTCAGACACCTGTGGATTTGAAGCACGAGAATGAGTGCCGTATGCACGGGTTCTATCAAAGACCTTTGGAACCAGGCCAGCCGGCAGGAAGCTTGGCATTTATTCACAGAGATGGCTTCCCCATCATGTGTTATCTGTGATGTCTTCATTCTATTTTTCAATTACAGTTGATACTCAATATTATTTTTTATTAGTTTCGGGTATATTCCTATCCTTCTAGCATATGCTAAAGTAAGAATTTATCTTCCCAGGAAGCATGGTGTGTTAGAAAATCATTTATGGTCTAAAATTAGAAAGAAGTTTGAATCCAGTTCTATTACCTACTAACTGCTTAACTCCAACCTCAATTTCTTTAGCTATAAAATAGGAAAATTACCTATCTCATAGGACTACTCCAAGGACAGTCATAAAATAACTTGCAGAGTTTCAAGACACTAATATTTTCTAGAACTCTATCATATTAGATGCTTTCAGATATGTTATCTATGGGTATCTGCCATAACATATATGCTCTAAAAATAACCCAAGTGGTTACACAAGGAAGAAGCCATAAGAAGAGGACACTGAAATGATTCGCCAGCGACTGTGAAGGTCATGTACTAGGACTAAGTCTTATTTCAAGACTTCCCTAGTGGTACTCCCACTAATATTTTTACTCTGTAGCTCCCAAACCATCTCTGATACCAATTATTTCAAAGATTCTATATAATATCAGCACAAGCAGATTATGCTCAACAAATGTTTTTCCACCCACAGTCTCATTTGAGCCTCACAAAATGCTGTGAGGTTTACAGGAAAATATTGCACTGGCCCATTTTACAGATAAAGACCCTTGAGGATCCGAGAGTTAGGTGATTTTCCCTAGGTCCCAATGATAATAAGGGGCAGAGCCAGCACAGGAACTCAGGTGTGGTATATCCCAGACAAGAGATCCCTCTATCAGATCTACGCCAGACTGCTTCTTGTTGAGTTATTTGACTGTAAAGACAGGTACCCCTTGCTCTCCCCCACTTCCTTAACCATTAAAAATATGGAATTAATCTTAAATATTATATTCATAACACTGAAGAATGGCAGTTGGATCCCAATTAATTACCAAAGACATAATGTGTGAGACACCACAAGATGATAGGTCTCCTAGGTCATAGCTCAAGTGTGAAGAGTCCATCATTTATGAGAATATGAGTAGCCTGCTGTCTTCAATCCAAACTGATAAGCATTAGCTGAAAGAAACCGCTCAGTAGATTTCTTGTAACTTTGGTTTCTAAGCCTGAAATTATAATGGAAGTATTTGCTATTCGCACTATCAAACCTAAGTATGTGGCCCCAGATAAGGTGTTATTACCGCACCTGGTCCTCCTTCCTAGACTGGATCCTACACCCTTTCCCACCGCCAGCAGTCTCTGGTGTGGTTCAAAACAAACTAAAACTGCGACACCAGCTATAGGTTGTCTTACCTGAGGACTGACTTGCATAGGATGGAATTAAATGTCTCACCAGAACTTATAGTTGCCCTAGTGTCTGGCAATTTGGAAACACCCACCATCCTAAACCATCTAGAACAGGGGTCGTCAAACCACGGCCACATCCAGCCCCCTCCCCACCCCGCGACCTGTTTCTGCGCTGTCCGTAAACTGAGAATGGTTTTCCCATTTTTGAGTAGTTGGAGGGGAAAAAAAAATCTAAAGATCATTTTGTGACATATCAAAATTATATAAAAAATTCACTTTACTGTGTCCTTACATAAAGCTTCACTGAAACAGCCACTTCCACTGTGTTCACACGTTGCCTGTGGCTGCCTCGGGGCTACGACAGCAGAGCTGGGTAGTTGTGATCATCTGACCCACAAAGCCAAAAACATTGCTACCTGTCCCTTCACAGAACAAGTTTGCCAACCTCTGACCCGAAGAACCAGCAAGCCAGTTGCCTTTGGACACTGAAAACGCGTTAACATTATTCAGACCTACGTATCCTCCAGGCAAAGGGGGTTAAGTGACAGTCAAAGCTTCTAGTCCCCTGATGGGGAACCAAGGTGGTTTCACAGACTTTACCTTCTGTTGGTTAGCCATCCAAATGTGACATTGCCAATGATGTCGATCACCCCAAGCGTGGACATGAGGAAGGCAGCCTGCTGGTGACTCACTCCCACGCTCAGCGCATAAGGCACCAGGTACACAAAGAGAGGGCTGCAGCCGTAAGCCATGAACAGGACGGAGACGGCGAACACGGCGAAGTCCGACAGCAGTAAGAAACTGTACTCCTGCTGCAAGGAGCAGCAGCGGCAGGTCTGCCCTGGTCCTGCAGCCCCCGGGGAGCAGGGAGACGCCGGCTTCCAGTCTTGTTTCTGAGGTCGACAGACATGGTTCTGCTCTGGAGCTGTCCGGTCCTCTCGAAGAGTGATGGGCCGCATCAAGGCACCGCAAACACAGAGGTTCAAGACGAAGCCCCCAAGAATGAGTAACGCCCCCCGCCAGGAAAACTGTTCAATGAGGAGCTGAACCGCAGGAGCCAGGATGAAGGTTCCGATGCCACTGCCCGACATGGCGATCCCGTAAGCAAGGGCTTTCCGTCTGCTGAAATACTTGCCAACCATGGCGATAGCTGGAGAGTAACAAAGTGCAAATCCAAGACCTGAGGATAAAGAGGACTCTGTGGGTGCTGGTACACCAAAAACAGCCGGTGCAAGAAAATATCTCGGAATGAAGTTACTTGCTTTGAAGAAAATCTGACCTTCTGTTAACCCCTTTAAAACACCAAGCTGAAAAGGAATCTGTCTCCCCTCACCAGCCATCCACAATTTGGAAAACATAGCATATATATGACTTTCTTCTTGGGAAGAAAAGCTTTAAGGAAATATGACTTCTTTTAAAAAAAAAAAAAATGAAATGAAGAACTTAAACACTATTACACCTATAAATTTCAATTAAGTAAAAAATCAGGCTAGTGCTGACCTATAAAATTTACTCTCCCCAACACCTCCTTTTAATTTAAATTATCCAGAGAATTGCCTCAAAGCTTTACTGCCTGTGAAGACACACGTCTGATAATCTGGACTACTCTAAAATTTGGGTGTAAATAGCACATATGACCCCATGAAACTTCCAGAGTAATTTCACCTAATTGGAAAACATCATGCCAATTTATACATGAACATCACATGGACAGAGTAACCTGAAAATATCTCTTGAAGTCAGCAGGAGGCCTCTTAAAGATTTTCAGCATCTATTCTTTTTAAATCAAGAAAATCTGAAGGGCTTTAAACCTAGAATTCATAGCATCTAAGGTCAAGGAAGAAAAAGAACTCCCTTTAGCTGCAGCTCAGGGTGACCAGTCATCCAACTGGCCTGACCTCAGGGGTGTCCCAGATGGGAGACTCAGTGCTAAGACCAGGACAATCTCTGCTAACCTGGGATGACTGGACACGCTAGGAGCCAGACCCTTTGGGTTACATAGGGCGGATACTTTTCTGAGGTAACAGAGCTAGATATATAGGCTGTCTGTGAGTTAAACCATTTATTGGCCTGATCGTGCTACCCACTGAGGCACAGTGCTGGACGTGAGTTAGTGCAACTTCCCACACCCCTCTGAGTGATGGGCAAACTGCTACTCCAGTCCTACCAACCGGCCCCACCTTGATCCTACACAGTCCCCTTATGGAATAGATATGTTGCTTCTCTTTCCATGGGGTTCATTATGATTCTCTAAAGTATACTTCCATAACATTGAGAGAGAATGTAAAACAGGAGAATATTCACTTCTTAAAATTTGAAACCCCCATTTATTGGACAATCCTATTCACTACAAAGCAGGGGCAACTCAAGTCAACTGCAGATAGTATTTTAACATCTTGTCAAAGATATTGGGAGAATGATCATTGCTGAAAATTTATGTTGCCCTGGCTAATATCTCGAGGCTTCTTTGCACAGACTCTCAGCCACATGCCTCTGCCAGAGGGAAAGCCAGCAGTCACTTCCGTTGTGTGGCTGAGTTCAAGTGTGATGTGTTTTCATTGCAGCCGTACAATCAGTTGCACTCCCAGCTCTTTTGTTTGGCTGCCAGGTAGGTAGACACACGCTAGGTCAGCTCAATTATGCATCTAACAAAGTGAATAATTTATGAATTACTGCTCTGTTGATGTGCTTGACAACTCCTGAATGTGGTGGGGTGAGACAAGGGGTGCAATTGCCCTTACCTGTAAGAACTCCCAGAGTGAGGTAGAGATGCTTCAGACTGGTGGCAAAGGAGCCCAGGATGAGACCAGTAGATGCAAGCAAGCCACCCAGCATGATTCCCACTTGACAGGATAAATGGTTACTGACAACACTCCCAAGTGGAGCTTCAAAAACAATAATAAATAGGTTCAACAGAAAGGCCTTGAGGGCACTGTGAAAAGGCTGGGGTGCTGCATTGGCAGAGCAGAGAACCACTGACCTTTAGAGCATCCAGCCCCACCCTCAGCCCCTGCACACTCATTCTACAGATTTGGAAACTGAGGAGAGAGAACATGACTGGTCCATGGTCACAAAGAGAATTAAGCAGCAAAGTTGAAGTTAGGATCAAGTGTCCTGACTTCATTCCAGTACTCATTCCACTTCTCCATTCTATTACAGCCACAATCCCAGGATTGGTGGGGGGGAGGGGGTAAAGCAATGAATCAACTCTTCATTTTAAAAGTACATGTCACTTGCTCATGGATGTACCTTGTATTTTTCATGCAGTATCAGTCATACACCATTAGCAATAATGATGGCGGCTAATTGGTGAAGAAGGAAAGTGGGCATCACCAGGTGGCCAGCAGTGCTATACAAGAAGAGGCCAGGCAGAAAGATGATGGACAAATGTCACAATCTGGCACTGTTTTTTTAAGCTTTAGGAGACCCTATGGATGAGAAATCGAAACCCAGAACAATCTAGGAAAATGCTCACACCCATGGTGACATTTTGGTGGGCCTCGCTCTATTTGTGGTTTAACAAGGCGTCAGAATTGTACCCGTTTCCAGGTTTGTAGAATATTGATTAAGGCTGGAAAAGGCCAATGAGAAATTGAAGCCCGAGGGAATACAACATGCCCAAGACCACCAAGAAGTAGAGCTCAGTTCACTGATACCAAGTTCAGGGTTCTTTCAACCTGTTCCTCTGGCTTCTTGAGTCTCCTAAACTCATGGCAAGGGGATGGGTAAGAAAAGCAAGTGAATTTGTTTCTAAGGAACAGTTCATGCTAATACCAGTACTCCTAGTAACAAGATCAGAAAAGCCAGTTCTCTGGTATCAGTGGAGAATAATTTTTGTATTGATGAGGTTGAAATTTAGGCCTGATTCAAATGTACATGATAGAATCAGTCATCAGCCTGATGTCTGCTGTCCAGTTAAAACAGTAGCTGGCCATATATATAACCTCTAGAGAATAGGAATGAGCAAATCTCCTGAAAATTTTCCAGGCTGCTGCTGCTATGGTTATTGGAAAAGTGACAAAATGTTCACCAAAGCCAATGAAAAATGTTCACTTCTTTGTTCATTACAGGGCAGATATGTCCCCAGTGAGTGTCTTAGATGTGATGCTGCAGCCTCTAGTTCATACTCTGCGCTTAACGAATATTGCCAGGTGAGCAAGTAGGCATATGGTAACTGGGTACAACAGGCTGCAAGTCCTTACATGGAATTTAAATGTGCTGCATATTTAAGGTCATGTTAACATGACCCTGCTTTGGGTCAGTGTCTCACATGGTCATTTTGACCATATTGGTCATTTATTCCTCTTTGGGGGATTATAAATAGTCTCCAAAAGATAACAGTGAGGGAAATAAGTCACCTGTGACCTTTGGGAAAGATATACACGGCTCTCTTGACTTGCTCATAGAGAGGCTGTGACTAAGCACATGGCCCTGAAGACCCAGTGACCGTCTCATTGGTTTAAAAAATATGTACATATATAGACAGGCTAGAAAACCCACAGATATTATTCTTTTTATCCCTTAAGATCTTCCAGTGTTATCAGAAGAGTCAATTTAGCCATCTCATGAAATCTTTTAGTTCTAGAATTGCTCTCAAATTCCTCCCAACAAAGGAAATAAATTTCAACCCAAGTCGATTGAGTCCTGAGTATGTACTTTTTATTTCTACAAATAAATATGAACTAGTACCCAGAATGGAATCAGGTAATATTATTTATAAGTTACTAAATAATATAGTATTTCTCTTTACCACAAAGACATGGCCTGGAGATAGCACTTTTCTAAAATATTCAGGATTCATCTCAATGAGAGGATTAAATGGGTCTAGCATGCAAATAGAGCATATCCATTTTATTCAATCTCAGAAACTCTCTAAGCCACTAATTCAGTAACTTTGGTTTGAAAGCGATTTTTAAAAATCTCAACCTCTACTATATAAATAGAATGAGAAATTCCATTTATGTAGAAAACCCTCTATTTACCCTGTACATAGCACCACTGGGGTTTCTTGAATGAAATGATAGCCGTGGTGAATGTATTCATCTCAGGGTCGCACCATCCTATCCTTCCCAATACTTCTCTAAGAATGAAGATTTATGCATGAAAAATGATGAAATTTATGAGACAAAGTTCGAAACCTCTGGGAAGGAAATGGAATAAAAAAAAGACTTGAGATGCAATGCACATATTGTTTGCACTCATTTAAGGAGATCATATAGAAATGGCTCACGGTGCTAACCAGGGACTGTTTATAAGACTGGAGAATGAGCCCTGGCCGGTTTGGCTCAGCAGTTAGAGCATCAGCCTGCGGTCCACAGAGACCTGGGTTCGGTTCCCGCTAAGGGCATGTACCTTGGCTGCAGTTTGTCCCCGGCCCTGGTTGGGTCGTGTGGGTGGCGGCCACTCGATGTGTCCCTTTCACATCTATGTTTCTCTCTCTTCCTCTCTCTCCTTCCCGCTCTATCTGAGTAAAAAATGGAAAAATGTCCTTGGGTAAGGATAAAAAAAAAAAAAAAAAGACTGGAGAATGAGGGGATCACAGCATTTGGAAGAAAGAAGCCAAGTATATACTGTATGATTAGCTGCTTCCAAAATCAGGACAAGTGCTATGATGCCCAGTATCCTATCTTTATATAGAAGAACCAAATAGTATCTGTTCTCTTGCATGATTAATTATCTGTTCCATCTGACATCAGCCAAAAACATTAATTCCCAGAGCATGTCTTACTAGGTTTGGCTGAAGGTAGGATCAACCTTTTCTTGTAGTCTTAGCCAATTTTTACAATAGTCTTTCTACAAAGAAAAAATTGGTGATCAAAGGCAGTAGAAGATCATTGTCATATACAGTTTGGCAGTAGCCAATAATTATCTGTCCCTAGTGATACTTACCACAGAGCATGGTCACACAGTCCACAATGGAATGGATCCATGCTGTTTGTGCATAATCCTGAGTGAAGTATGTCTGGAACTCCACAAAAAAAATTGAAATACATCTGAAAAAGAGAGTACAAGCATGTTATACCAAAAAAAAAAGAAAGAAAGAAAATGAATGTGAATTTGAATCAGAGCTTAAAGCTTTGGTTCCATCCAGTGTTCCAGTCTTCATGGGTTTAAACTGGTTTTCAGTGAAACTCTGCTGGACCATAGTCAATGGGAAATCAGAAGCTAACCAAGCTAGCCATTGGGCCCTTCTAAAGGATAAGAACAAGTGTTCGTCCACTAGAGGGGCTGTTGAAGTCAAGTGGATATGAAGATCGCTGCTATAGAGAAGGTCTTACAAAAAAGATGGCAGGCCACAAACATGTATTCTTATTCATCTTAATATTTAACTAACATCTGTAACATGTAAGAGGTTGTTATAAAAGTTAAAATTTGACAATAAAGAGTTAAACATCACCAGCAAATTCACTTCTAGGTTTTTGGGTTTTTTGGTTTTTGTTTTTATCCTCACTCGAGAATATGTTTTTATTGATTTTAGGGAGAAAAAGGGGGAGAGAGAGAGAAACATTGATCAGTTGTTCTCTATATTGGGGATCAAACCCACAACCTGGGTCAGTGCCTTCACTGGGAATCAAATTGGCAACCTTTTGATGTACAGGACAATGCTCCAGCCAATTGAGCCACTTGACCAGGGCTCAGTTCTAGGTTTTAATCAAAAATAATAAACAGATGATGATGATGATGATGATGATATTAGATATACATAAAAGAAGATGTTCTGGAGAATTATTAATAGAATATTATAACCAACCTATTTGTCCATTAAGGGACTGGTTAAATAAATTTTAGCATATCAAAAATATGAAATATTATTAGGTATTAACAATGATTTTATCTGTTTTGATCTGAAAATAAACATTAAGTTTAAAAGTAAGTTACAAAATAGTTCATATGGTAAGGGCTTATTTTTATAAATATATGTTTATGTCAATAAAAAATAGCCTGAAAACATATGAACCAAAAAGTACTAGTCATTGCATGTGAATTGTAAGATTATAAATTATTTTATTTTTTGTCTTTATTCATCATTTTGTATTTTTACAATGAACATGCTTTCTTATGCAATCGGAAAAATATGGATGTATACACACACTCACACACACAGACACACATATGTGGGGGCATACAGAAACAGTGATAGAAACAAGGAGATGAGAAATTTTTATGTTGAAAAATAGTTAATTATAAAAACCCCAAATAGCCAAAGAATCTTGAGAAAGAAAACCAAAACAGGAAGTATCACACTTCTTGATTTCAAGCTATATTATAAAGCTATAGTCATCAAAACAGTATGGTGTTGGCATAAAAATGGACAAATAGATCAATGGAACAGAATTGAGAGCCCAGAAATTAACCTAAGCATTTACAGTCAACTAATAATTGAAAAGGAAACTAAAGTGAAGAAAAGACAGTCTGTTCAACAAATGGTGCTGAGATAATTGGATATTCACATGTATAAGAATGAAACTGAACCCATATCTTACACCACTCACACACAAAAATTAACTTGAACTGGTTTAGAGACTTAAATGTAAGACCTGAAACCATGAAACTTCTAGCAGAAAACATTGGACAAAAGCTCCTTGACATGGCTCTTGGTAATGATTTTTTTGGATATGGCACCTATAGCATAAGCAACAAAATAAAAATCAAACAAATGGGACTATATCAAACTAAAAAGCTCTGCACAGCAAAATAAGCCGTTAACAAAGTGAAAAGACAACTCATGGAATGGGAAAAAATATTCGCAAATCATATATCTGATAAAGGGTATTATAATATCCAAAACATAAATTACTCATTCAACTCAACAGTAAAAAAAAAACAAATAACCCAAATAAAGAAATGGGCAATGCACCTAAATAGACATTTCATCAAAGAATATGTGCTAACGGTGAATAGGTACATAAAAAAGATGCTCAACATTACTAGTCATTAGGGAATGCAAATTAAAACTACAATGAGCTATCACCCACACCATGCTCAAAATATAAGAGGTAACAAATGCTAGAAAAAAAGGAACCCTTATACACTGTTGTGGAACTATGAACTGGTACAGCCACTATGGAAAACAGAATGGAGGATCCTCAAAATATTAAAAACAGAACCACCATGTGATCCAGTATTGAAGGCATTATGCTAGGTGAAATAAGTCAGAAAGAGAAAGACAAATAACTATATGATCTCACTTACATGTGGATTTTTTTAAACAAAAAACAAAAACAATACAAAACTAATAGAAAAAGAGATTAGCTTTGTGGTTATCAGATGTGGAGGGTGGGGGATGAGGAAGTAGAGCCAGGTGGTTAAAAGGTAGAACTTCCAGCCTGGCTGGTGTGGCTCAGTAGATTGAGCATGGCCCCATGGACTAAGAGGTTCCAGTTCCATTCCTGTCAGGGCACATGCCTGGGTTGTGCACTCGATCCCCAGTAGGGGGCATGCAGGAGGCAGCCAAAGGATGTTTCTCCTCACATCGATGTTTCTATTTCTCTCTCTTCCTTTCTCTCTAAAAAAATCTATAAAAACATATTTTTTTAAATAAAGTTACAACTTCCGGTTATACAATAAATAAGTACTAGGGGCAAGAGAAACAAAGTAAAAAATGGAACACGTGGGACTACATCAAACTAAAAAGCTTCTGCACAGCAAAATGAACAAGTATCAAAATGGAAAGGGGCCCTGGATGGTTTTGCTCAGTGGTTAGGGCATCGGCCAGTGGACCAGAGAGTCTCGGGTTTGGTTCCCACTAAGGGCACGTACCTCTGTTGCAGTTAGTCCCTGGTCCCAGTTGGTGTCATGTGGGTGGCAACCAGTTGATGTGTCTCTCCCACATCGATATTTTGTTCGCTTTCTTCCTACCTCTCTCCCTCCTGCTGTATCTGAAGATAAATGCAAAAATGTCCTCAGGTGAGGATTAAAAAAAAATGGAAAGGGAATCCACTATATGGAAGAGCATAATTACCAATGATATATCAGATAAGGGGTTAATTTCCAAAATATATGAAGTACTCATACAACTCATTAAAAGGAAGACAAAGAACCCAATTTAAAAATGGGCAGAGGACCTAAATAGACACCTCTCCAAACAGGACATACAAATGGCCAAGACACATATGAAAAAATGCTCAACGTCACTAATCATCAGAGAGATGCAAATTAAAACAACAATGAGGTATCACCTCACACCTGTCAGAATGTCTGTCACAAACAAATCATCAAACAATGCTGGCAAGGGTGTAGAGAAAAGAGGACTCTAGTACACTGCTGGTGGAAATGCAGACTGGTTCAGCCACTATGGAAAACAATATGGTTTTACCTCAAAAAATTAAAAATTGAACTGCCATTTGACCCAGTGATTCCACTTCTAGGAATATATCCTAAGAAGCTTGAAACACCAATCAGAAAGAATATATGTACCCCTATGTTTATACCAGCACTATTTTCAATCGCTAAGATCTGGAAACAGTCCAAGTGTCCATCAATAGATGAGTGGATAAAAAAGCTGTGGTACATGTATACAATGGAATACTATGCAGCTGTAAGAAAAAAAGATCACTTATCTTTTGAGACGACATGGAGGAACCTGGAGAATATTATCCTAAGCAAAACAAGCAAATCAGAAATAGACAAATACCACATGATCTCACTTGTGGAATATAATGAACAAAACAAACTGATGAACAAAATAGACCCAGAGACATAGAAGTAGGGTACAGACTGACAAACCTCAGAAGAGGGGGCCGGAAGTGGGAGGAGGGAAGAGATAAACCACAGAACTTATATACATGTATGCATAAACATGGACATAGACAATACTGGGGATGGGGCGGGGGGGGGGGGGATCTGGAGGAGAGTGTCGATGGGGGAAAAAGGAGAAATATCTGAAACAAAAATAAATTAATTTAAAAAAATAAGTACTAGGGATGTAATGTACAACATGATGACTATAGCTAACACTGCTGTATGATATACAGGGAAGGGATTTAAAAAATAAATAAATCTAAGAATTCTTATCATGGACAAAATCTGATTTTTCTTTTCTTTTTTTTTTTGTATCTATATGAGAAGTGGGTGTTAGCTGAAACTGTTGTAATCATTTCACAGTATATGTAAATCATGCTTTATGCCTTAAACTTATACAGGGATGTATGTCAATTATTTCTCATTAAAACTGGCGGGGGGGGGAGGGGGAGAAAAAATTAACTGCCGGGTAGGCACTGATTCTCTGAACTGGCAGACCCTGCAGGCTGATTTCCTCGTCCGTCTCAGGTTCTCTTGGCTGCTTCCTGGCTCATGACATTTAGATTCTGATGCTGGCTGGGTCTTCACACTTTTCTTCCTATAAGCTTATTCTGCTCAGGTACCCTTCTGTCAGCCTCTCCCAGTGACCTCTAACAGGCACAATCCTCCTTTCGGTTTCTAGCAGCCCTTCCTAGAGCTCACCTCCAGAACTTTCCCATCATGGAATGACGGAAGCTTCCCCAGGTAAAAACCAATATGAAAAAGATTCCTTTTAACTCTACGACCTCCTCACCCCCAGAACACAAGCTCCGTAACACAGGTGGGAGCAAAATCAAACTCAACGCCAACTGTATTACTCGAAAGGAATCTACCATTTAACGCGACGCATAATTAACTAACCTTTATTGTAGCAAAAACAAGCATCCTGCTTCTTTTTGTTATGAAGGTAACATCAATGTTTTTATTGATGATGCCATCAAATAAAGTTATTAGTGCAAATTGCTTTCGTTTGCTGCCAAGTGTGAGCTTCCAGAGAAGAAGAGTTCAGTCTGAACGGGAGCACCTGTGAGGAAAGTGCTGGCCCGTGTACCAATCTGTTCCAGTGAGTCTCAATGTCCACTCACTTAACTCGGGCACTTTCGACACTATGCTCTCGGACAGAGGAAAAAGAGAGCGATGTGATCGCTTCGGTAGCACCTACACTAAAACCGGGACGATGTCCGGCTGGTGTGGCTCAGTGGTTGAGTGCCGACCCATGCACCTATAGGTCATCGGTTCAATTCCCGGTGAGGGCACGTGCCCAGGTTGTGGGCCTGATCCCCAATGGGGGGCATGCAGGAGGCTGCTGATTGATGTTCTCTCTTATCGATGTTTCTATCTCTCCCTCCCTTTCCCTTCCTCTCTCTCTAAAATCAATAAAGAAAAAAAATTAAAACTAGAACAACACAGAGATGAGCATGACCCCCTGCGAGATAAAATGTGAGATAAAACGCACATTCTTGAAGCATTCCATATTTTTTATGCTGTACACCTGAAACTAATACATAATAGTGAATGCAAACTACAACTGAAAACTAAAATAAATTTTTAAAAAAGAAACTTTCTCAAAACATGCACCTAGGAAAAGGAAAAGGAGAGGAGAGGAGAGGAGAGTGAGTGAGTGAGTGAGTGACCCTGCATTTAGGCTGTTGCTCCCCTTCGGCCTTGAGCTCAGCCTCCACCACCACAGCCAAGTGCAAAATGAAGCCAAAGCATTTAAATACAAGGCTTTATGCTTCCAAGGGCTCAGTATCTAGTGAGTCAAGAGGTTTTCAAGGACTGTTTTAACCTGGTATGTTTTTCTTTTCTGGGACGAGCCACTTATGAAAACAAATGGCTGGAATAGCCACATTATTTGGTCTAAAAATGTCCTCACACTTTAGGTTTATGTACCAGATATTATAGAAGAGACCACAATTCAGAACTTTTCAGTGTCAGAAAAATCACATTCCTTACCGAGAAAAAGATATCCGAGCAAAGAAAATACACACACACACACACACACACACCATACAATTACATATATATTTTCACTATGACAGGTTCAAAAATAGAATGAAGCAGACTTAGAATAAAAAAGACAAACCAGATGATCTTAATAAATCAAGAAGAAACTGCCCCTACCTGGTTACTGCCCGGGTACAGATGGTGACAAGGAAGCAGCCGGCCACAATCATCCAGCCCCAACCTCCATCTGGCGGGGAGGTGGACCGAGCTCTATTTACTTTTGTCATGGTTTCCATTCTTTTTTCTCCTTTTCCAAGTTACTCCAATTGCCCAATTATGATCTTGGTCGAGTTCACTGTCCAGCGACTTCCTGTTGACATTCAAGATTGGCATAGAATGCTACCTGGCACGTGGGTTACTGGAGGCCATCTAAAATAAAAAATCAGGACATAATTTTATTATACTGACATCTCCAACTGTTGGTTTTTCACAGGGCAAAAAGGATGAATACTTTCCCATTACATATGATTCTTTGTAACTAAAAATACTGGACTGGGGCAAAAGCTTTAGCTGTCCTTGGTACCCATCCTCCTTCTTTTTCAATGATAGATCCTCTTGAATTTTAGCTGAATCCACATTCACCTAGTTTGATGCCATTTTCCCTAGCCTTTTAAAAAAATTATCTTTATTGTTGAAAGTATTATAGATGTCCCCCCTTTTTTCCACCACTGACACCTCCACCCCGCTCCTTCATGCCCCCCCCACAGGCCTTTACACTGTGTATGGCCATGGGTTATGCATACATGCATATAAGTTCTTTAGTTATTCTTTTCCTGCCCCACTACGTCCATCCCTCTGAGAGTCTATTCCATGTTTCCATGTCTCTGGATCTATTTTGTTCATCTGTTTATTTTGTTCACTAGGTTCCACATATAAGTGAGATTATGTGATACTTGTCTTTCTCTGACTGGCTTATTTCAGTTAGCCTCTTCAGGTCCCTCCATGCTATCTCAAAGGGTAAGAGATCCTTCTTTTTATAGCTGCATAGTATTCCGTTGTGCAATTGTACCACAGTATTTTTATCCACTCATCTGAGCTGTTTCCAGATTGTAGCTACTGTAAATATCACTACTATGAATTTGGAGGTGCATATATTCTTTCTAATTGGTGTTTCAGGATTCTTATGATATATTCCTAGAAGTGGGATCACGGGGTCAAATAGCAGTTCCATTTTTAATTTTTTGAGGAAACTCCATATTGTTTTCCATAGTGGCTGCACCAGTCTGCATTCCCACCAACAGTGTACTAGAGTCCCCTTTCCTCCACACCCTCGCCAGCACTTGTCATTTGTTGATTTGTTGATGGCAGCCAGTCTGGCAGGTGTGAGGTGATAGCTCACTGTCATTTTAATTTGTATCTCTCTGATAATTAGTTCCCTCTTATGTCAATGTTTCTCTCTCCCTCTTCCTTCCTCTCTCTAAAAGTCAATGAAAATACTTGTTTTAAAAGAAGTCTCTCAAATTGTGTGTATCTTGTAAGAGAAGCTGTACAAAACCCTGTAAAGTGTGTACTTATAATTGTCACAGAGAATAGGCAGAATATGCAAAAAGGAATATAACTAGGCTGGAATAATTAAGTTATGATTCATTTTTAAAACTGTATTCAATCCCATTTTATATATAAATTTCTTAAATAGATATTTCTATTTTTGCAGTGTAAATCTAAGCACAAAAATCTTCTTTGTATAGTTTCTCAAGGACCAAAAATAACCATATCATTTATTAATACTGCACAGTGAAAGGTATATGATTATTCCTTAGAGGGCACACTGTGGGTTAAAGCCCCTGGCAAAACTGAATGTTCTGTTTCTTTACAAAAATATTAAGCATCATTTACAGTTACTTGGCCTCTGCTGTCCCCAGATTCCATTTTCATTTGTTTTAGTTGAGCATCCCCTCTTCAGCATTCCCACCTTTTAGAAGTTAAGAACCAATTTGTGAGGATCTCTCTCAAAAACAAAAAAAGTCAATGGCGTAAGGACAAATAAAAATATAGAATGCTCCCAAGTACAACTGCGGTGACAGCAGAATGAACAAAGGTCTGTTGTGAGTTAGAGCCAACCTGGGTAAAACCACAGAACAAGGAACATCCTCGCAGGATTCCAGGATGGGAGAGAAACTTCTCCGAAAGCATCCGTATGCAACAGCTTTACCAATAATCCTTCACGAACAGTCGCCCTGAAGCCACACACACTGCAGAAACTTTCACGACGGCGAAGCTGCAGCTGAGAGAAGTGAAGGGACCCACCTGAAGTGGCTCCATCTGAATCCGAGTGGAGAGGGGCGGCTCTGGCCGAGTTTGGACAGCACATTTGCCCGTCTGCCCTCCAGGTTTCAAAATTGTCCCTGGGCACTTCAACATGCCATCCAAGCAATGCCAAAGCTTAAGCACCTATTCTTGTGACAGGGGAACCCACGAGGTTAGCATGGGGGTCGACGTGCTCAAAACAACTCGTGTGAGTTTCTTCTAAATCAGCTCCTCTAGTGATATGTACTCAGAAGCAGAGAAAGGGTTAGACGGGCTAACCTCATTTCCTAGCGACTCTGCAGCAGCTTGCAGACCCCCTGGAATAATAGCCTGAGCATCCCTGTGAATAATTAACCCACTTGACACTATACAAATATGGAAAAGTCTTCTACTGAGTTGATGGTATACCTAAAACTCTAAGTAAAGCAAGCATGTGGCCATCACACAATTCTTCATTTTACTAATCAGCCTCCAATTTATTTGATTTTGGCATCCAACCACTAACATATACTTGAACTCTGCATCTCATTCTGGTTTCAGAAAAATTCTTTTGAAACAAAAGGTGTTGCTATATTATAACGTTTTTCTAAGATTACCCCTTATCAGTACAAGTTGGGATATAGCCTCAATTTCACTCCCTTGCCTTCCTCGTCCTTGCTTTGAAAAATCTATTCATTTGTAAAGAGTTCTTGCTAAGAGTCACTACCCTTCCAGGAAAACAGTCCATGAGTGGGGCAAATCCTTCACGTTGCCTCCAGTCAAGTTGGCTGAAGCAATCCCGGAATCGGTAGAAAATCTACACATTTCTTACAGTCAGGATGCAGCTAGAGAAAAGGCAACACCGGTCCTGGGACCTCTTGCTTGGTAGCGACTCCCAACACTCTTCCCACTGTTCTTTCCTCCCACCACTCTTCCCACTGTTCGTTCCTCCCACCGCTCTTCCCATTGTTCTTTCCTCCCACCGCTCTTCCCACTGTTCTTTCCTTCCAACACTCTTCCCACTGTTCTTTCCTCCCAACACTCTTCCCACTGTTCGTTCCTCCCAACGCTCTTCCCACTGTTCGTTCCTCCCAACGCTCTTCCCACTGTTCGTTCCTCCCAACGCTCTTCCCACTGTTCTTTCCTCCCAACGCTCTTCCCACTGTTCTTTCCTCCCAACGCTCTTCCCACTGTTCGTTCCTCCCAACACTCTTCCCACTGTTCTTTCCTCCCAACACTCTTCCCACTGTTCGTTCCTCCCAACGCTCTTCCCACTGTTCGTTCCTCCCAACGCTCTTCCCACTGTTCGTTCCTCCCAACGCTCTTCCCACTGTTCGTTCCTCCCAACGCTCTTCCCACTGTTCGTTCCTCCCAACGCTCTTCCCACTGTTCGTTCCTTCCCACGCTCTTCCCACTTTCGTTCCTCCCAACGCTCTTCCCACTGTTCGTTCCTCCCAACGCTCTTCCCACTGTTTTTCCCCCAACGCTCTCCCATGTTCTTCCTCCCAACGCTCTTCCCACTGTTCGTTCCTCCCAACACTCTTCCCACTGTTCTTTCCTTCCCAACACTCTCTCCACTGTTTCTTTCCTCCCAACACTCTTCCCACTGTTCGTTCCTCCAACGCTCTTCCCACTGTTTCGTTCCTCCCAACGCTCTTCCCACTGTTCGTTCCTCCCAACGCTCTTCCCACTGTTATTCCTCCACGCTCTTCCCACTGTTCTTTCCTCCCAACGCTCTTCCCACTGTTCGTTCCTCCCACACCTTCCCACTGTTCTTCCTCCCAACACTCTTCCCACTGTTCTTTCCTCCCAACACTCTTCCCACTGTTCTTTCCTCCCACCGCTCTTCCCACTGTTCTTTCCTCCCACCGCTCTTCCCACTGTTCTTTCCTCCCACCGCTCTTCCCACTGTTCTTTCCTCCCACCGCTCTTCCCACTGTTCTTTCCTCCCACCGCTCTTCCCACTGTTCTTTCCTCCCACCGCTCTTCCCACTGTTCTTTCCTCCCACCGCTCTTCCCACTGTTTCTTCCTCCCACCGCTCTTCCCACTGTTCTTTCCTCCCACCGCTCTTCCCACTGTTCTTTCCTCCCAACACTCTTCCCACTCTGTTCGTTCCTCCCACCGCTCTCTCCCACTGTTCTTTCCTCCCACCGCTCCTCTTCCCACTGTTCGTTCCTCCCACCGCTCTTCCCACTGTTCTTTCCTCCCAACGCTCTTCCCACTGTTCTTTCCTCCCAACGCTCCTCTTCCCACTGTTCTTTCCTCCCACACTCCTCTCCCACTGTTCTTTCCTCCCAACGCTCTTCCCACTGTTCTTTCCTCCCAACGCTCTTCCCACTGTTCTTTCCTCCCAACACTCTTCCCACTGTTCTTTCCTCCCAACACTCCTCTTCCCACTGTTCTTTCCTCCCAACACTCTTCCCACTGTTCTTTCCTCCCAACACTCTTCCCACTGTTCTTTCCTCCCAACGCTCCTCTTCCCACTGTTCTTTCCTCCCAACACTCTTCCCACTGTTCTTTCCTCCCAACACTCTTCCCACTGTTCTTTCCTCCCAACACTCTTCCCACTGTTCTTTCCTCCCAACGCTCTTCCCACTGTTCTTTCCTCCCAACACTCTTCCCACTGTTCGTTCCTCCCAACGCTCTTCCCACTGTTCTTTCCTCCCACCACTCTTCCCACTGTTCCTTCCTCCCACCGCTCCTCTTCCCACTGTTTCTTCCTCCCAACACTCTCTTCCCACTGTTCGTTCCTCCCCACCTCTTCCCACTGTTCTTTCCTCCCAACGCTCTTCCCACTGTTCTTTCCTCCCAACACTCTTCCCACTGTTCTTTCCTCCCACGCTCTTTCCCACTGTTCTTTCCTCCCAACACTCTTCCAACTGTTCTTTCCTCCCAACGCTCTTCCCACTGTTCTTTCCTCCCAACACTCTTCCCACTGTTCGTTCCTCCCAACACTCTTCCCACTGTTCTTTCCTCCCAACGCTCTTCCCACTGTTCCTTCCTCCCACCGCTCTTCCCACTGTTCCTTCCTCCCAACGCTCTTCCCACTGTTCTTTCCTCCCAACACTCTTCCCACTGTTCTTTCCTCCCAACGCTCTTCCCACTGTTCTTTCCTCCCAACACTCTTCCCACTGTTCTTTCC